TCAGAGCAACTGTGAGCTGTAAGTTTGTCTTTCTTCTTTGAAATAAAATAATTTAGTCACTCCTTTTTAATAGGCAAGGGATTCCATACTGTGTTTACTAAGGAAAATTCAGCCAGAGTTTTTCCTGTTTCTGGTGCTGCCTCACAGCCTAGAGTATGTGACAACTCACATACTCTCTTTTCTGCATAACTGGATCAGCCTTACCAAGGAAAAAGAAGGGGGTTAGGAATTGAAGCCTTACTCTTTCAAAAGTGTATCCCAGATAATGGAACCTGTTAGAACTCATGTGCTTCCTTCAGTTTTTTAGGTAGTTGGCATGAAATTACACTGTTGTAGTTAAAAATGAAAATATTTATCTTCCTCCCCTAGCTAAGTTATTTTCACAGATCTAAAATGTTTCATAAACATTCAACCTCACTGAAAATGCTAAGCTGCAACTTAGTGTGGACAGGCCTGGGTGTTTGCTGCTATCAGCAGCTTTTTATTTTGATCCAATCTTTTTTTATCTCATATCACTACAGGTTGCAAAACTCCCACAAGTGGTCCAGCAACAGGCTACTGTTGCCAACATTCAGCAGATGGTTTCAGTTTCCCAACAGGTAGGTTTTACTCTTGTCAAGTATAGCACTGCAAACATGATCTTTACAAAAGCTCATTTTTTTAGAATGTGTGTGCTTTTCACCTTATGTGTGGCATAGGTAGTATTTTTGAAGGATATAGCAAGTGCCTTTCTATAAAAATAAATCTTGAATACTGAATCAGCTGAGGTTTATTCTCTGGTCTAAAACTGTCATAGATGTAGCAATGTTTGTTCATCACTGTAGATAAACTGTAAAACATATTTTTAAAAGCATTTTCTAGACCCGAAAGGATGTTTAAAAATTGGTTTCTGGTGGTATATAGTCAATATAGCAAATAATTGAACTAATGGGCACCATCTGAGCTTTTTCCACAAGAATTAGGACAAATTGAAGGTTACAGGTTGTTTTGTTTCAGCTCACAGAGCTGTGCCAAGTGCTCTGTAGAAGGCAGAATGGTGTGGTGGCTGTTCCAAATGTGTGCTGGTAACTGACAGGGCTTGGGCAGGAGAAGTTCAGGTAGTTTGGTTCCCCTCCCCTAAGGACCAGACAGTTTAATTAACACTGTTTAGAACAATGTCATCCAGATCATTAGCAACAGGCCTAACTTAGGCAGTTGATTGGCAGGAATGATTTAGCTTTGGAGAGTGGATGGAGTTCTTGCCTTTGGTGCACAAAAATCTGGGCCAGTCAGTTCTTAATCTGCCACAGTTCACAGTGCAGTGTTTCAGTGCAGAATAAAATCTGTGACTGTTTATCTCCAAATGGTGATAAAGCTGTCTGATAACCACCTCAGATGTGAATGCTTCAAGGGCAAAGTGGACAGCAGGAGGTAGAAACCTCATCAGTCAACACAACTTGAGTTGCCCTCTGTAGTCAGGAAGAGCTCCTAAATAATTTTCTAAAGTCATCAATGGTGGCATAACTGTGACTTGGAGTCTGTGGCAAAAAGAGAAGTAATTTCCCTCCCATGTACACCAGTGACTTCAGTGGCAGTAGGCTTAGGCCATGATAAGTATTTTTTAAACTATGGTCTTTATGTGTATAGGGCATTCTTTTTATCTGCATTTTTAGTGCTTCCCACTGAAATCCTTTTGGATCATTCAAGAGTTAATTTTTCCTCTGGAGAAGTCCTTGTAGCTTTGTTTGGCTTCTGCACCTGACAAAGGCAGCTGAAGCTGCTCAGTTTCAATTACCTTGTCCTCTGAACAAGGAGATGTTGATTTTTTTTTTCTCCCTTGCTCTGGGTAGAGCTATGAAAATTAGATGTCTGGATGGAGTTCAAATTATTCTGCCATAAATTGGCAATAGAGACTGGCAGCTGTAGTTTGAAAGGGAAATGGCAGAGACTGCTGGGCAGCCTCACTGACTGTATTTATTGTCACAATATGGGTGTAGAGTCAGCATTTTAATTTCTTTGGTCCTCTGGCTGTCCCTCTGTTCTTTTCCCTGCTCCTTCACTTCTGCAGTACAGGAATTTTCCTACATATCTGGTAAGGTTTTTGTACCTTTCATCTGCCTTCTGAATGTCTCTGGGGGCATGTCCTTGGATTTGCACTGCAGAGACCTGAGTTACAGCACTTTGGCTCCTAGTTCTGATTTATAAGGCTCTAGAAAATGTGACAGAATGGTGTTTGTCAGTGAAACCACAGAGCCTCTGTTCCCAGAATCATGTCTGAGATGTTTGTCAGCTAAGAGAGCAAATACCTAAGGAAGCAGGATTTCTTCTGTAGAGCAGAAATGTAAGGACTGCTCAGTTTAATACCAAAGCATTTTGTAATTGCCTTTTCCTCCTGCTGTGCAGGTACAAGCTCAGCCCCAAACCGTGACCCTTTCTCAGACGACAGCAGGACAGCAGCAGGTTCAGGTGATCCCTGCAACCACTGCCACTGCTCAGGTGGTGCAGCAGAAGCTGATCCAGCAGCAGGTTGTGACCACAGCCTCTCCCCAGGTTCAGGCTCCAGGTGTACAGAACCCAGCCCAGACACCAGCAACACCTGAAGCCCAGAGTCAGCAAGCAAAAGTACAGATGAGGACACCGACTGTCAGATTGAAGGCACCTACTAAACCAAGCTGAACTATTGCAATAACAGAGAAACACAGGATTTTGTGTTTGCTGAGACAAGTGAGAAGCTACTCCAAACATCCAAATGAAGATAAAACACCTCTATTTTTTTTTTTGTAGCAGAAGGTTTCTTGCTGGTGAACATTTAAACATGAAAACTCACATGTAACTTCAGTGTATTAGCAACTGTTTAGCACTCAAACTCTGTACAAGATGCATTCTGCCTCTGTGTTCTCTGTGCTCATTTAAACCACATAAAGCAAGCATTACTTAGGTTGAAATTCTGCCCAGCTTCTCAAAAGTGAAATGGTGATCTGCCATGAATGTCAGTAAAATCCATCTGTGTTAGAACACCACACCTGCCTGTGGGCATGTGCAGCTCCTTGCTGTAGTTCAGTGTGTGCTCAGTACCCACAGTGAAGCCACACAAAAACCAGGTGTACCTGATACTGCACAGTATTTTCCATCTGTACAAAAGCTCTGTGTTGTTCTTCCCTGTGTTAAACACCCCTGGAAGATCTAACACAGGCTTGAAGTGCTCCCTGCAAAGTTTAGCCAATAAATGTGAAAACCTGTAAGTATATGTAATTAAAAAAGAAAAAAAAAAAGGTTTCATTCTCCATTTTTGTAAGTCTTTTAAAATGTTTGTTAGTAGTTTTTGTGTACAGTTTACTGAATCACCCAACCTGTGTGCTCATTCTCATATTTCACTTTAAAATAATGGATATTTTAGGCATGAGCTGAGTAAATACTGTGTTGATAGTAAATGTGTATTAAAGTGTAGCCCATTTTCTTTTTTTTGTAAAAGAATTGTTCAGTAGATGCAGCTAAACAGATGATCCATAGCTGTTTCTCATGGGACTTCTGTCACAAAAAAAATCTCCAGCTGATAAAATCTAATCTCTCAGTTTCATTCTGCTCTTGCAACATGTTTAAATGTTCAGTACTTTTTACACGGCTTTCAGCTTAGGGGGTGGGGAGGGCTGGGGGAAGGGGAGAATAGTGAAATTAAATCTAAGACTTAATTCTTCAACTGTGTAAAGAGTAAGATCTAACTTTTGTACTATTCTTTTACTAAAGCTAACAATGAATGTATCTTCAGGTGGGTATTTTGGATGTGAATAGAGCATGGCCTCTTCCTCCAAATCAGTTTGCCTTATTGTTATGGAGAAAAAAAAAAGCAAAAAGCTGCATAGAACTGTGGGAGGTTTCTTTACTTTTCTTGCATACAATGAATAACAGAATTTGCAAACAGCACTGAGTGAGGAATCAAAAAGCCCATGGTGGCTTGAAGGGATTTATTTTACTTTGGCCATAAAACTGCACAATGTGTAAAATCCAGACAAAATTACAACATTCCTTTTCTGAGATGGTTTTAAAATTATTTTTTCATTCTGTGATCTTTTTACTCTTTTAGGAAAGGAGCCTATTTAATGGCAAGGAAAGCATATATTTTGTTTTTACCTCTGTATGTCCACACTTGTTGGTATCTGGCAATGCACATGGCTTAAACAAGAAAGAATTCTCAGCCAGCTCCTCTGTGTTAGTTGGGATAGGTACAGCCAGTTCTGTTCAGATCACAAATTTAACATTGGCTCAGGCAGCGTTCCTGATTTTTTTAATTTATACCTCTTTTGTCCTGCATACTTTTTTTCTTGGACCCTCAGGTGTACAAATACAAGGGCATTTTGGGTTTTTTTAAAGCTGTTTTTGCATGCAGTAGTATTCCCCTGACCCTGCTAACCCCTGGCGTGTGCCATCCCCTGAACTTCCCTGCCAGCCAGGGAGCTGGCACTGCTGACAGCAGAGTAGTTTAAAATGCAAAGCAGATGCAGTGGTGATGGATAGTGACACTGTGTACAGTATAGCCTTGCTCATCCAGAAATATTGCTTAGGTAGCCCCAGTTTTACTTTTAAGTGTTTAGCTTTTATGATGTGCATGAAGGTCGGGGTGGGGGGGAACAGTTCCAGCGGTGGGAGAGCTGTTGGCTACGTCGTTGTGCTGGTCTGATTTGGTGTCTAAAGAGGCGATTGTTTCTTGTTTAGGTCAGTTGATGAAGATAAAAAGTCACCATATTTTTTTCCTTCTAATTACTTTTTCTTCCTTTCGGTGTGTCTTTCTCCCAGGAGTGTGTTAGGAAGTCAACCTGTACATAAGTGATGAACATTTGTACTCGCCCCAGTAGGATGATAAGGAATAGTGCTGTATCCTACCTGAAGGTGTAATAAAGTGTACATTTTTATACCGCCGCCTCGCCCTGCCTTCTGTACGGGAGGGGCGGTGTGGGTGGCGGGACGGACCCATCCCCATCCCGATACCGACCCCGATCCCCGCCCCGCTGCCGGCCCCGCCTGCGGGCGGAGCGGCCGCGGCTCCTCCTCCATCCTCTGCTGCGAGCATGGCGCGGGAGGCCGCGCTCGCCGCCTGCCTGGAGGCCGTGCTGGGCAACCGCTCCAGCGCCAACCGCGTCTTCGAGCTCCTGGAGCCGCTGGCGGTGCGGGCCGGGCCGGGGGAGCGGGGTGAGGGAGAGAGGGAGCGCGGCTGGGCCGGGGGAGCGGGCTGAGGGAGGGAGGGCAGCGCGGCCGGGCCGCCGCTCTGACACGCTGTTTCCCAGGGCCAGGAGGAGCCGGAGGACATCGTGAGCGCCGCCAGGATCTGCGGCCGGCTCTTCGGGGCGCTGCTGGAGCGGGGGGAGCTGTTCGTGGGGCCGCTGCCCGAGCAGGACGCCTCTCTGGGCGGTGAGCACAGTGAGCACCCGCGGTGCTGGCCGGGACAGGCGCGGCCCGGCCCGAACCCAGCCTGTGTCTGTGTGTCTGTCTGTCCCTCACAGAGAGCTACAGCCCAACCTGTGTCTGTGTGTCTGTCCCTCACAGAGAGCTACAGCGCCCAGGACAAGTACAGGATATGGATGCGGCACCGCTACAGGGACTGCATAGGCTGCCTGGGAGAGCTCATGGGACACGATTCCTTCCAGGTCAAGGTGGGTCCTGAGCTGCTGCGGACCCACGGGGGGTTCAGGGGGGTTCCTTGAGGCTCTCGCTCGGTGTTTCAGTGTGGGAGGGCAGGCAGGGCTGTAAAAGAGCATTGCTGCTCTGATTCACCTCTGCTCACCACCAGCGATTTCTCAGGAAATAATATTTAATTTCATTCTTTCTCCTCTTGAAGGTGCCCCCTTTGGGTTTGACCCCTGTTGTTCTTGTTTAGGTGTTTATTTGGGATTTTTTTGGGGTTTTTTTTGTTTTTTTTTTGTAATGTTGCTTTCTTTTTTTTTAAAGGAGCAGGCGCTCTGCACACTCATGAAGTTTGTAGAATTGGAGGCACAGTATCCACTGATCAAAATAGAGTGGAAGGGAACTTTAACTTTTCCATGTGACCTTCTTAATGTAAGCTGCAGACCTGAAAAGTCCCTCCTGTCAGTGACCTGATGGCACACGAACTCCTGTGCCCAGTGCTGTGAGAGACTGACCTGTTGCTTTCCTTCCCAAACCCTTTGTTAGGTGGTTGTTGATGGTTTGCTTCCCACCACCGAGGACGCCTCCCTGCTGATCTCCCGCTTCCAGGAGTACCTGGAGTACGATGATGTTCGCTACTTTGTCATGAAGGCTGTCACTGCCAGCATCGGGCAGGTCATGCAAAAGACAAAGGAGGTAACAAATTGTTGCTTTCTCTGGGTTGTGTGTCTTGTATGTGAAGCAGGGACGAGTTAGTAGTATATGGGAATATTTGGAGGCCAGAGAAATGAGTGTGCCCACTGGAGGCATTGGTTTTTTTCTTATGTGTGTCAGTATGCCAAGACTGGCTTTACTCTGAATTTGAAAGTATTTCAAGACACATACTGTTCTTTCTGGTCTAAGCTCTAGCTTCTGTTTTATCCAAATCTTTACAGCTTGGGTGACACACAGAGAACTTTTAATTCTGTTTGCTTTGGTGCAGAGGAAGAACCTCTTTCTTTCATTGGATCCACCAGTTTTGCAGAGATAGTTTTCTGATCTGCAACAGAGAATATACCAGTGTATAGTTTATTTTTGTAGATTTTAGTCATCCTTTTTCTCTTTCCTAAATATATTCAGTACTTGGAAACAGGGCAATATTGAAGCCCAGCATCTTGCTCTCTGATGTGGAACTTGCTTCATGTTTGTTTTTTCCTTTTTTCCTCAGAGGCCGCTGCCTTTTTACCAGCAGAATGTGTTTTCCCTCATCTCACCCATTAACATGCCAAACAAAGAGTCTGAGATGGTCAAATTTATGGTAAAGCAAGGTTAGTGAACTCTGCATGATAAACTGTGTGAAAAGGAAAATCAGGTGAAGATTTCTAGTGTGTAAAGACTTTATTATTGTTTGCTGATGAAGAATTTCTGTGTCTTTGATCACTGTGATTCTAAACAGTCTTAAAAATCCACATTCCTCAGTCTACAGGGGTGTCTGTTATGGCCTTGTATCAAATTAGGTACTTCAGCCCAAGTTTTTAGAGCATCAAAAGGCTAAGTTTAAAAAGGTTCATCTTAATTTTTTGAATATCCATTTCAAGTTCAACATCTGTTTTCTCTTTCTTCTTAGATAACTGTGAGGAGTTGAAATTTTCAAAGCTGCAGGTAACTGTTCATTTGGTGCATTAGAATTGAAATTTTGTCACTTAAAATAGAGCATTATCTGTAGCAGTGTGTTTGACTCACTGTTTGCAATTCTGTTTTAAGGCACACAGGCAGGTGTTTCAAAAAATGTGGCTGACTTTTTTGAAGCACAAGGTGAGTGTTACTTCTGCCTCTGATCTGCATTGCTCTTTAATTTAATGATTGCTGATCCTTAGCAGTTGTGTCCAGCCTTGCAGGAAGCTGCTGGTGGGACCCCAGGATGTTTTGAGTGTTGGGTGGGAAGAGCCCAGTGACCATTTCTGTGGGATCACACAGCCAAAATACATGACCTCATATATGGCCTGCTTTTTCTCCTTACCCTCAGCCTTTTTTCCCTACCTTAAACATCTCTGCCCATAAGGGTGATCTGCAGCATAACAGTCTCTGCTCACAAGCTGAAACTTCCCCAGCCTTTTTCCTGGTGGTTTTCACCATCTGAGTGATGACACTGTTAGCTGTGAGCACCTGCTTCTTGAATGAACTTCCTTGGTGTCACCTGTAAACTCTCCCATTTGGGAACTGCTGCTGCAAGCTGTTCTGTATTTTCCTGGCACGTTCCCTTCTGCTTGTGCATTGCCTTTTTGAGCCACAGGTTGCTGCTGCTGACTGAGTTCTCCCTGCAGTGCTTGTTTCTCTGTGTTGTTTTGTCCTTCACAGCTGCCCCCTGGCCTTTACAAGAAGGTTCTTGTCATTCTGCACGACTCTGTCCTGCCTTACATGAACGAGCCCACTCTCATGATGGATTTCTTGACAGTGGCCTATGGCATAGGTGAGTGGGAACAGCATTTTATCCTTTGTGGCACCTCCAGCATGGCACAGATGGACTTGGAAGCTCTGCTGGATGCAGCAACACACCCTGGGTGATGGAATATGTGTACTTTTGGCTGGGATGGAGCTAAGGAATTAGGGTCAACTCCATTGTCCCTGGAAGTGAGGTGATTTTGCCTGTGTTTGTCAATGTCATTGCTCCTTGTGTGTAAGGAAAATAATTTTTAAGGCTTTGGGGAAGAGTAGAATACTGGAGTGATTTGTTTTAAATACAGAGTTCAGCCAGTGCTGCTGATCCAAACACAGGATCCACAGATTGCTGCAGAAATGTCCTTTCTGAGCAGACCTTTGCCTCCCCAGTATGACTTTGTTGAGGAATTAGAGCAGCACATTTTGTGTCTCATATGTTGAACATTTGTCTTCTAAACTACAGCTTAATCTTTGTAAGAAACTTGGGAGTCTGGAGGGGTGCAGATGAAATTGTTTCACCTTTCAGCCATCACACTGGCTCTGATTTCAGCTATTCAGTTTTGCTTTCCTTCTGGGAAGATTGTATTATAGAAAAAGCCTAAAGATTAATTTTTTCTAGTTATTTTTGTTGTGTTGATGTCTGCCTGTTTTCTTACAGGTGGAGCAATCAGTCTTCTAGCCCTAAATGGGTTGTTTATTTTGGTTCATCAGCATAATCTGTAAGTAAAAAGAGTATAGTGTTTAAAGGAACATGGGGTTCTGCATTTATGTCTATATAAGAGGAACTGAAATGGATTCACCACACCTTCAGGCTTTGAAATTCCCCATGAGAAAGCCAAATTACACAAGAGGCTCAGGCTGTTTAGATGCTGAGCTTTTTGGCTGTCTGATTTCTTTTACAACTGAACCTAAATAGTCTGTTCTCTAGGCTGTGGTTGCTCAGCACTTAAAAATCAATTTCCATTGATCTGATTACAGAGTGAAGCCATGGTCTTTGGTGTCCCTTTCACTGCATCCTCTACCATTTGCAGTCACTGGTCATGGCTTCACACCCTGAAGGTGGCTGGGCACTGCAAGAGCCGTAAATTCACCTTGCAGTTTGTTTTCAGGTGGTGACTGTAGAGGGAAGCCTAGGAGAGCTAAACAGAGCCCAGCAGTGGGCTGGGGTGCTCTTAATGAAAGCACAATCATATTTAGACACAGCCCCACTGTACACCACTAATGGATGTTGTATTTTTCCTTTTTTTCAACAGGGAGTATCCTGACTTTTACAAGAAGCTGTACAGCCTGTTAGACCCTTCCATCTATCACGTGAAGTACCGAGCTCGCTTTTTCCACCTGACTGATCTCTTTTTGTCTTCATCGTAAGTAGCATCTTTATTATGTGTGCTCACATATTTTCCTCCTGCTTTTCTGTTCCTGAGCAGTCTCCCACATGTCTGGATTTAATGTATTCAGTGTTCCTGCTGGATTAGATACATTTTGTATGGAGAAAACTGAATCTGAGACTATTATTGTAGTCTTGTGTAATTTTTCATGTGCTATTTTTGAAGATTTGCCTCACAGCCATAGATTTTCAGAAAGGAAGAATTGCAGTTAGTTATCAAGAGTTTGAGCTGCAAGTGCTTATGGATGTGTTTTTGATCTCTGTTCCACTTTGGGTGAAAGTGATGAATTTTCTGTCTTGTCTTTGTAAAAATGGAAAAGTAAAATTTGCCGGGTTTTTATAGATTACAAAGCTGCTGATAAATGGATGGCTTTTTGCAGACATAAAGCACTGAAATGTGAAGTGTTTGACAGCCTGTCTTGATGTTGTCAGTTCATTGTACACAGGAAAGAAGCTGGATAGGCAGCTGGTCATATAGTTGCTGTCATATTTTATAAAATAAACCAACAGTAACAGAGCACCAGGCACTTCATATCCAACCCCCTTGTAGTCCTGGTGTACTTTGGACAGAGTGACAAGACCTGTGGGTAACTTTGTTGAGCCTTGCAGGTGTAGTGAGGCCTGAGTGACTGAAAATTGTCATTTTCATCTTCTGATGTGAAGAAGGGGCTTAAATGTTGTGATTGCTGTTAGAAATTTGCATTTTTACCATTAAAAAAAAAAAAGAATTATGCTGCACATTTACACTACATGGGAGCTTTATGTTCCCATTAACAGCTGCAGTGCTTGGAAATGTTATGTAAATTTAACACCATGGCCTGTGTATTAATTAAACGCACAAAATGACATAAGAAGAATATAATTAAGGTTCCCTGGCCAAGCACTCAGTTTATGAAAGGACTGAATAAGGTTTGCTGTGAGAATGGCTGTGTACAGGGGCAATGGTGCCATGTGTCAGGATTGACTCTCACAGTGATCTGAGATTATTCATGCACTGAATGTAAATTCCCCCAAAATTTGTTTCAGCAAGCACACAACACATTGCTGCTTAAACTTGAGATTCCTTGTCACTGTGATATTCTCTGAAAAATCCTCTTTGCCCAGGATTCTTCTCCTGGGAAGATGAGAACCCTCAGCTTCTCCATGTTGTGCTGCTCTGGAATGTGGCCTGGAGATTGTTTATCCAAACACGTGAATTGTTTTTAATTAACGACCAATCACAGCCAGCTGTGTCAGACTCTCTGAGTCAGTCACGAGTTTTTATTGTTCATTCTTTTTAAGCCTTCTGAGGTATCCTTTCTCTTTCTTTAGTGTAGTTTTAGTATAGCATAATATAATATAATATGATATGATAGAATATAATATAGTATAGTATAGTGTAATGTAATATAATATGATATAATATAGTATAGTGTAATTAATATAATATAATATAATGTAATGTAATATAATATAATATGGTATAATATCATATAGTGTAATATAGTATAATATAGTATGGTATAATATAGTATAGTATAATATAGTATAGTATGGTATAATATAATATAGTATAGTATGGTATAATATAGTGTATTAATAAATCAGCCTTCTGAGAACTTGGAGTCACATTCTCATCTCTCACCTCATGCTGGGGACCCTCACAAACACCACAATTCCTAAAGCTTCTCTTTACTCCACAGCCAAGCAGCCTAATGAGCCCCCTGCCGTGCTGTTGGGGTGCCTGAGGCTGCTGGCTGTCCTGCCAGGGCTCTGACAGGCTGTCCCCTGCTGTCCCCTGTCCCCAGGCACCTGCCAGCCTACCTGGTGGCAGCGTTCATCAAGCGGCTGGCGCGGCTGGCGCTCACGGCTCCTCCCGAGGCTCTGCTCATGATCCTCCCCTTCATCTGCAACCTGTTCCGCAGGCACCCGGCCTGCAAGGTGCTGCTGCACAGGCCAGCAGGGCCAGCAGGTAAGGGGGGCTTGTTTTATGCCTTTAAGGCAGCAGAAAGAGGAGCATTGCTGTGGAGGAAAGGGGGAGATTGCAGTTCTGAGGTTTGGAAGGATGCCTTTGTCCTGTCCCTTGGGTTTGTGAAAGGTCAGCAGGCTCCTGCTGTTAAACTCAAAGCTGTTCCAGGTGCCCTACTTGCTCTGCTCTGTAAAAGTAACATGGTTCTGTAGTGCTGCCAGCAGTGACTCTTGGGTCATGCTGGAATTTGTCAGTTTGTCCCTGGAACCATAAATGACTTGGGAAGGAGCAACTCTGGCTGCAGCCCTGCTCTGGGGCTGTGTTCCCTTTGGGTTTATGTACATCACACAGGGGGTGTTAGTGTATCTCCTGTTTCCTTAGATATGTCAGAAGATCCATATGTTATGGAGGAGGAGGAGCCATCTGAAAGCAGGGCTTTGCAGAGCTCTCTGTGGGAGATCCAGGTATGTCATCCCAAAATTAACATCTAGGTGTAGTATGGGTCTCTTCTGCCCTTGCTGCTTCCTTGACATGTGTTGGCAGTGGACAGCCCCTCTCACAAGAACCTACTTGACATATATCTTGCAAATGAGATGAATTGTTTTACTCTGCATCATTTTCTATCCTAGCAAAGGATTCCATACACTGGAGAGGTTTATGTGCTATTTAGTGGGTGCTTGTGAGCTCACATTTGAACTTGCAGTTCACAGCTGACACAGACTAAATAACTGCAAAAGGACCAGGCTCTGGAGGGGAGAGAGGAACTTGGTGAACATGATGGAAGTGAATTGAGTAGAGCCTGGTTGTCCTCTAGAAATGGATGAGGGGTTTGTGTAGGGGGCTGTAGCCAGAGTGATGTGCAGGAGCTGGAGCTTGGGTGTGGCATGAGGGCACTGTGAGATGGCCAAATTGGGTTTTGCAGTGTAGGCATGGCCTATGGATGAATCTGTTTTGAGCTGGATGTGACCATGTGAGAGGAGCCTTTGACATGTTTGAAAGGTGCCTGAAATGAGGATTTCTTGAAGCTCTGTAGTAGCATGGTGCAGCAAACTTGGATCTGATGGAATTTAGTGGTCCCTGGAGATCTGACCCACAAATGGGCAGACTCCTGTGTGGGAGTGCAGATGGGTGTGTGTTACCCTGTACTTTTAGATTATCTCCCATTTATTTTGCTTTTTCAGTCTCTCCAGAGCCATTATCACCCAGATGTGGCCAAGGCAGCTGCTGTCCTGAACCAGTCCCTGTCTGAAATGGAGGATGACATATCGGGGCTCCTGGAGCTCTCAGCTGCTGAGGTAATGCTGCTGTGCCTTTGTGAATGACTGGAACCAGGGGAAAGGAGGTTCTGGATGCAGCAGCCATGTCCTGTTTTCTGCCTTGCTGCTGGGGAGGGAGCTACACTGACTTGGTTACCAGGGCAAGCCAGGAAGATGGTCTGTTAAATAACAGCATGAGCAACAGTGGTGACAGGGTTGGCTTTTTTCTTTGAAGTGTTTATTTGCTGGATGTTTTAAGATTTTAGCGTGTGCAGTGTTATTGGGGTGAAGAGCCTGTGCTGAATTTTGACAGTATTTTCTGGTTTTTATTTTGTAGCTTTTTGATAGAGAAGTAAAGAAAAAGGCTGTTGATGTGCCCCTGGAGTTTGAGCCTGTCCGAGGTTTGTTTGGGAAGAAGAATGATATTTTTGCAGAGCACTTCAGTTTAGACTGATGCCATCTCTTACCAAAACACATCTGTCAGCAGCTGGATCTTAGGGACACACAGAAAGCTCCCATGTGCTCTGCAGCCCTTCCCTGTGAGCAGAGCTGCACTGCTTGAGCTGCAGCCTTCTTCCTGCTCCTGGACGGACTTTGCTGTGTTTCTCACACTTGCATTCTGCCATCTGGTATTTGGGAGGGATTTCTCCTCAGAGCAAGGATTTCTGGACTTGTTCATGGCTGGGATTCCAGTCCTTCCCCCAGAGCTGCTGCTGGCTGTGGCCAGGAGCTGCATCAACAGACACCTCACTGCTGTTCCATGGGACTGAGGGGCATTGCATTCTCTGACTGCTCTTATTTTTCAGATGTTTTACTTTTATATGAGAGCTGACAGCCTGTTTGTAATAAATGTCTTCAATACATAAATGTAAACACCTGATATATTATAATTATATTTTTATATGCATTTTTAAGCTCATCTTGAGAGGGATGTTTATATTCCTTGTACTCAGCACTCCCACGTTCAAGGCATTGAAACTGGTTTGTCTGACAGCTCAGAAGGTGCTCAGTAAATCCATCTAGGAAATGTTGCTGGTGTTCCTTCCTCTACACCCATCTCATGCACTGAGGTTGCTGGATTCCAAATGCTCATGAGCTTTGGAAGTGAACATAATCCTGGTGCCTGCTGTAGCAGGGAGGCCAGCTGATGTGCAGTGGGAGGCTAATCCTTGAGTTTTGCTTCAGAATGATAAGCAGCTTGCTGTGGTTTTGCTTGCAGCATGTGTTCTAGGAGCTCTGGCCAGAGTGTATCCAGGGGCTAATAACTTTTTAATTCCACTGCTACTGGATGCTTTTGTTGGTTTTTCATATACTTCCAGAAGTCATGCACAAATTCCATTTGATGAGGTTTCCCCCCAAGGTTTTAAGTTTGAGATAAACTCATTATTAACTTCACAGATGAAGTCAGGACTTTTTTAAAACTCACTTTCAACAATTTAATGTTACCTCCTTAGATTTAAACTCTGCTTGCATAATTTGAAATCATATTTTGTGGAAGAGTAAATTACAATCAAGAAAGCAGAGGCCAAAAAATCCAATTTCTGGCAGCCAAGTCTGGTTAAGTCAAGGAAAACTGCAGCTGTCTTGGAGACACTGAAGTGTTACATTTTCTTCATCCAGTTTTTTCATGCTTTCCAAACAGTGGACGTGTCCTCACAGTGTAGAGCTCTACATTTTTTTTTTTCCTTTCTGATGCTTTTGAATTCAGATGGGGTCTTTCTGAGGATTGATATTTCTCCTCTTTTTCTTTGGAAGTCTCTTTCTTTGTTCTCTGGTGAAAGGGCAATGCCTCCTCCCTGGCCAGCCTGCTTTTCTTCTTTCTTTGACTTGTGGTATCTGAGGTGGGAAGGCAGAATGGTTGAGATGGAACTTTCAACTTGAGAGGCCTCAGTTCAGGTTCACCCAAGCCTTGTATTTCATCTTTAAGATGTATCTCCCTTTGTCGTGGGGTTCTGTCTCTGTGTGTTTGGTAAACATCTTGAGGTGCTCTGCTGTAGCAATGAGAACCACGTGGCTCACTTTGAAAGAGGGCAGTGTATCATCTCAGACGGAATTAATGACTATATTTGAAAGGATGAATGTCTGTGTAAAATGGCTTTCTCTGATGGTTTTATTTTATTCAGGTTGTAGCTGAATTATGTCTGTGTGTAATTGCTGGTGAGCAGTGTCATTCACTTCTGTGATTATATTGGCACTCAGCCCAATATTAAACCACTTGGGCATGGGGCAAATCCACATCTCAAAGTGCTGAAAATGAGGGAGTTTGGTTGTGTTCTTCTACATGGACAGAAGGTAAGCATTGTCCTCAGGGCTGTGTGACCTGTGTGTCTGGGCTCTCCTGGCACCAACAGGAACACCCTGCACAAGGGGCAGATGGATTTGGTGGGGGATGTTGGAAAGCAGAAGCTCCTGCTTTATGGTGTGGCCCTCTGCTGCCTTGTGTCTGAGACCAAATGGCCACAGCCTAAAGCATTATCCAAGCACCAGGAAAAGGGATGCCATGGAAAGGAAATGGAAAAAAGGAAATGGAAATCCCTGTGTTTTCCAGGAGGAGGACTGCAAAGGCACCAGCATCTCCAGTGTTCCACCAGCTGTGGATGCCACCCTGCAGTGATGGAGCAGGATGCAATTCACGTTTTCCAGGGCATTCCCAGTGTGCTGGGAGTGTGTGGTGCCCCTGGCAGCTCCTGCTGGCACTGGGGCAGAGGCTCAGGCTGACACAGGGTGTTTCCAGATTCCTCAGCACATTTCAGTGCTGAGCTGGAAGTGCTGTTAGTGCTGTACTTGAAGTATCTGCAGCTGACCTGGGGTGACTTAATTATTTTGTGATGATGCCTGGCAGCCCCAGCACAGTCCCACTGTGCTTGGTGCAGACAATCAAACCACAGCTCAGAAGAGCTTACAGCTGAAAGCCTGGGTGCACTTCAGACAAGCCTTGAAGGTCTTCCACTGACTCCCCCAGCTCTGATGCTGCTCTTACCTGAGCTGCATTTTTAAACCAGCTCTTAGGTGCAGATAGCTTTAAGCTCCTCCCTGTACTTGGAAAAACATTCCACCTTGTCTTTCATCAAGGTTTTATCTTTCAACTTTCACCCCTTTCCCCTCAAATAGGAGGCATCTAGGAAAAAAATCAGCAGTTATAAATATTGAAAGTTTCATCTGCACAGAGTGAGCAAGCCTTATCAGGCTGCACACCTGCTGCTGCTCCTGCTCTCCAGGTCTCCACAGACTGTAGATTATAGATGCTGTAATCATGGGGTGTATTAACTGGAAGGCCAGATTGAAGTACCAGGCAGTGAGTGCATAAGTCACTCCTGTTATTATTTGGTTTTTATCAGATGTGAGGAGGGGGGAGAGGGCTGTTCTGGGGGTTTTTGTTATTGTTGGGCTATTTCAATGAGCATAAAACATAGTTTTATGAAAACATTGACATAACCCTGCAGCCTCCCCACCCATCACTGCCCTGGTCCCCCACCAGAGGGTAACAATAAGGTCTCTGACTCAATGGACTGCCCTTGGTTTATCTTCCTGAGCTTCCATTCAAAGGCATCCCAGCCTGGCTGCAAAATAGAGCTGCTCAGCAAGAGCATGATGTGATTTATCTGAGGAGTCAAAGGTTGAGGTGGCCACAATGTTTCTGTTAATCAGCTTAGATTCTTACTTTTAAGATATTCAGTGGGAGATAGAGGGAAGAGCAAATTTACATCTGTAAATAAGTGCTGCTATTAGCATTAAGGTGGTTTCATATCCCTGAGATAGTGAGAGCTACAGTGCAGTCATAACCCCTGTGTTTTCCTCTACCTAATTTTGAAAAACAAGCTCTCAATTAATTTACAGCCCTGCTCAGGCAAAAAGGGCTACAGGATCTCAGTTCAACTGACACTAGCTTTTTCCAGCACTATCATAATCAATATTCATTAACTGAAGCCTATTGGACTTGGAGATTTACTGCTATTAATAAGCCAAGAGTCTATCTTTGTGTAGTTTATGAAGAAAGTTTGAGACCTATTACTAAAAAGAATTGCTTTTCTGCAGTTTCTTTGCCCTGTCCCTGGGCCATGCTTGCGCCTCTAAAAAGAGTTCTGGAGCATGTGAATAGAGCCAAAAGAGATAAAATCAGAGTGAAACTGCCTTCCTCTTGCAGAGGAATAAACCCCAGCAGACAGGATGCTCTGCTTGATGGTGCATGCAGAGATGTGAACGTCATCTCTGTCCTAACAGAGTTAAGAGCTGCAGACTCCGTGTCCTGCTGGTTATCCCCATTTTGTTGATAAATGCACAGAGTGAACCTTATCAAAAGGAGCAGGCTGCAGGCCTGCTAATGGAGCTGTGCTCGTGCTGAAGATAATTGATGCCTCAATAACACCACACGTTATCCAGAGAGCGGCTGGAGCGCTGTGTGAGGAGGAGCATCAATCACAGCTGCTCCTGTAACTTTTATCAAATACTGAGGTGGGTGGCAAGGTGCATTCTTGGGCTGCTCTTGGGGAAAGAGTGTTGGGCTCAGAGATACAAAACAAATGAATCATCACATCTGTTTTCCTACATCAGTTTCCTGCACGCTGGGAGTGTGAGGATTTACATTTCAGTCATCTGGGCTGGGGATGGGAGATCCCAGGTGCTGTGGTGCTGGAAACTGAGGTTTGATGGCCGGGAGCTGGAGTTTCCAAGAGGGAGACAA